TCTACCCGCGGCGGGGCGGCGAACATGTCGGAAGCGGTGCGGGTGGCAGACGCTGACTCGGCTCGCTGCGGAGAGACTTACCTGGCGCGGTGTAATTGTTAACGCTCGTTTTGCAACCTGTTGAAATTGCTTCTGTAGGTAGAGAGATACAACAGAGGTTGACATATGAATATTCCAAGTAACTTCTAACTCCTTGTTATCGGAAAGCGTGGATATAGAAACAAAATTTATTCGATATCAGGTCCCGACAATAGGCGTTATTCTGACGAAAAATTATAATTACTTTTTCTTCACCACGCGAGAACGTCTAAAAAATAAAAATAATGAACGCAACTCGAACCAAAGTGTCTTTGGTTAACTTATTTCAAAATTCGGGTCTCAGCTCGTATCGTCGCGTCGTTCGACATTTCATGCGTACGCCAAAGAATATCTTTCAATCTTAGTTAAGTAAATAACTACTGAATAAGGAGACATTATCCATATTCTTTAGCATCACCAACCTTCACAATAATTCATAGTCACGTGTAATTTTGTTACAATTTTAATTTTATTTCAAATTTATTCAATTATATAATCAACTAATTTGGTACCATTTTAGAGATTTCTAGAGTACTAATTTTGCCAAGTAGTGTACAGTTGATGAAATAAGACATTGTCCTGTAGTATATTGCACGCCATCAATAAATTGTCCATTGTCGAAGACCATTGCCGAACGTTTTGCTCAGCTGCACCAGCGCTACGAGACGGTTGCCCCAACGAGACTCCTTCCGAACGGAGCCGCGACGTTGGTTGCCAGGAAGAAGTCGCCCGTCAAATTGCTGCACTTCCCCAGCAGCGCCGTGGGGTTGGCGTTGCACCTGCCCGCCACGAAGTCCCCCCAGGACCCGCAGCGCCGCCCGACGAGGGCGGTCGGCCGGACCACGGCCTCCGCCCACAGCTGCACGGCGCGCTCGTGGCTGCACGCGAAGCTGGGCAGGCTCGTGTTCCACATGCGGCAGCCGGGCTGCGGCGCGTGCCCGCCGCCCGGAAAGAAGTCCACGTGGCCGGTGGCGACGGGCGCGCCCAGCACACCCATGCACGTGTGCAGCGCCAGCACGCAGCGCGCGTCGTTGAGCCCCACCGCCGCCGTGCACTGCTCGCCCGGCAGCGCCTCGCTGTAGAAGAGCGGGCCCGCGGGGTCCAGCGCGATCACGTTCTGCACCCGGCGGTGGACGGAGCGCGCCGTCGCCCCCGCCACGTGCGCGCCCAGGCTGTGCCCGATGACGTGGCTCACGTCGGCGCCCTGGTTCACCATGGCGTCCACCGCCGCCGCCACGGCGCGGGCCACCGCCTCCACCAACGCCACCGCCACCGCGTAGTGTTGGTTCGTCACCTGCGACCAGTCCACCACGATGAAGTTGGCGTGCTTCACGTACGCCGCAACCATCGCCCGCGTGCTGGAACTGTCCGGGCCGCTGTTGTAGCCGAAGTAGTAGAGGGCGATTTCGCGGTCGTGCTGCCACCGCACGTGATTTAGTAACCGCACGGCGTCCTGGAGCGACACTTCAATGTTGCTGCGCGGATGCTCTCCGAAATAGTACCTCAGAATGACAGATTTAACCAACTCCTGTTCCGTCTGAGCATCCACGTGTGCACAGGTTGACACCGTAATCATATCCGTCAAATTCCTTCCGGCCCAAGGAAAACATTTTACGGACTGTAGATAAAGTGGGCCTAGTGCTATTGCAATGAAAAATAAAACGGGAAGGTCGGAGCAGGTCATTGCCAGGGCGATGGATAGTTATTTCAGCGACAGGGAAGGCCGAATACGGAATGATTCACTAGAGAGCGAAACCTTCGACTGAAATGTAAGACGAGTGCGACTGCAGAGCGCCGTTCCTTCCTACAGCCGCTGTGTTGTCAGCGTTCCTGCAGCGGAAAGGTTTCATTCGCGAAGCCAGCAATTCCGAGCACAAGGAAATGCATGGCCCGACAGTAACCATAACCGCGATATCTTAGCGTTTAAAAAGTTCGAGAGGTACAATATTCTTCTTTGTAAGATAACAATTTTTTGCCATCACTAGAATTTATTTTGCTTAACAAAAAAGCATTGGGGATGTAACTTACAAACCGAGTCAGCAAATTAGATTCACGTCATACCACGAAGCTAGATGAACGTCCTAATTTAATCACAAATTCTTCACTTTTTGTTTTGAGATATACACATTGAAAACATATACAATTGGGCCAATCTATCCTAAATCGGCAAGTAATATTTGGGAAATAATCCAGCTCTTCTGAGACATGTTTTTGCTTGTATTGCTTAAAACCAAAAGTCATGTCTGCCAAACATCGATGTTCAAAATTAAAACATCGATAAAGACGCAATCTCAAACGGGGAATGATACAAGAATCACAAAGAACAGTGTTTTCATAAGAAAATATTTTGAAATGATTTTTTTAGCGAACAAACAAGATTTATATTATGTTTATAGAATTTACTAATTACTTTATTTTATGTTTATTTTCTTTTTAAATTTGCCTCGTATTAACAATTTTGCAAGGGGTGGGAATATGTTTGAATGGCAAATTCTTTGGTTGTTTTCATTTCATTACTTAATTCTATTACTTGATGTATATCAATTGTGTAAAAAAATGAAAAATACTCTCTTACGGGTGGAGAGCTTCAACAAACAAGAATCTGTCGATTAAACCTTCTATTATGAACTCTGAATGTTAATGCAATTGCACTCTAGGTAAACACAACCACAGAGCCAAGATCTTTTCGATTCAAAATGTTTTAATTGAGATTGAGAAAATGTTAATTTTAATTGAGAATTTGCCGATATATGTCATGTAATGGATTATTTATTTACGCCACCTTCAAAATTTCTAAACGGTTCACGATATCGAAATGCAGTTTTTACTCAACAATACGAAATCATGGAGCAAGTAATATCCTGTAGATTCTTGTTCGGAATAGTTTAGATTTCGAGAAATTTATTAATCTTGAATTTTTTTAATTGAACTACTATGTATCTTTCTCACTAGCAATGTAAAGATCATAAAACGAAGAATTCAATGATGTGTATCATGATTGTGTTAATTTTCTGATTGTAATTTGTGTATAAAATTATAACTTCCTGACACGTGATTTTAAATTAAACGGCACAATTTCCTGTGGAAGCCTTTGCAACTTTCGCTTTTGCGGAAGGTGGTCTTGAGTCTCCCCTTCCCATTTAAAACAGTAAAGGCGCGAAAGCCACCATCGTGAAATGCGACAGTTGTAAGCGCTGTAGGAAATTCTGACGATTTAATTTAAAATAACATGTAAGAAAAATACAGCGAATGTTTGGGAAGCAGAAGTTATCTCAACCAAGTGCTTGCCCATGCATCATAGAGCCCGAGAATAACTCGATTGAAATCTTATCGCATTGTTGGATTGGGGCGAAGCGGCAAATTCAGCAATGCGATAAGACAATGAGATGTAAAATGTATTTTTTGTATTCCAGCATTATAAAAGAACCATTTATGTTGCAAGAAATCGTTTATAATCGGGAATTTTACGGCACAAATGATGACGTATTAGATTTTATGTCACGAATGATTGCGTCATCACACATTCAGCCAATCGTAGCGAGAGAATCGGGGGGTACAGCTAAACGGAACAGCCGACCACCGTTTACTCGCACGATGTCAAATACCCGAGTCGTCACAGGGAAGTTGTTTCGCAAAATTGTTTGTTTCTCTTTTAAACGTATAATGCTGTTATACAAAAAATATAGTATGCAACTCGTTTATAATGTTTCTTTATTACATTCGTACACATTTGAAAACTCGTTCCTAAAGTCGCTTGTTTTCAAAACATGTACTCATGCAATAAAGCTTAACATTATAAACTAATTGCGTAAACTACTATTGTAAGATATCGATCGAGTAACACTTGGGCACTATGAAATATGAGCAAGCACATGGTTGAGATTACTTGTGCTTCCCAAATATCCGTGCATGTTGCCATTACCCGCTTCCCCTCTCTACGGGTATGGCTACATGGTACAACTAGTGTTCACGTGCGCACTGGCTTCTTTGAAAGAACTTCGTTTACTCTAAGTAATTATTTTATACTTCAATAAAGCTCGTATTCTATGGAAATGTTAATAAATATAATAAATAATGTGCAAAGTTGATAAATATAATAAATAACGTGAAAAATTAATAAATAGAATAAGTAATAAAAATGTTAATTAAAAGTAATATGAATAGTATACTACTGGGCCTACAGCAACAAAAATATTGCTGGGAAAAGTGTGGAATATCGGAACCTGGAACAGCAAATATTGACTGTTCTGCAGCGTCACACTCGAGAATTGTAATTTATTTTATATTTTATTTTGTTTATTTCATTTTTATTTTATTTTTGCTCACAAATAGATCAACTTACACAATGCATTGCCTGCATCCAGCATTTGCTGGGGCACAGAAACATTATCTCGGTGGCAGGTGCATTCAATTTTTATAAGTGGATGAGCATTTAACAGGATCCGATTTTAACCCCCCCCCCCCAGGGTCCTTAGCCTTGGAGGTGTGAAAGATGAAATTATGATGGTAGTGAGGTGTGAGAGGACACACATTCAAACACAAGTACACCCATGCCTGAGGCGGGACTGGAATCAGCGATCTTCTGTTCCTAGACAACTAAGGCACTACTGCCTTAGCTATCTCGACCATCTGATCGGCTTATTTCATTTAGAATATTAATTAATTAATTAATTTTCTTTCTCTCTCTCTCTCTCTCTTTCATTCTCGTTGCTTGACGTCAGTGTGTCGAAGGCACTGTGAATTTATTCGGTACAAGCAGTGTGACAATAAAAGGATTAACACAATCAAGTATTTGCATTTTGCAGTACAAATCGAAACTGTTTCATTGTTTTGATATTTTTCCAAAGATTCTGGGTTTCTAAGGAGGATTCTGTGTATTCATTGACAACTCTCACATGACCACAAGTTGGTTATTTATCTCGATTTCTGCGCGCGAACGAAATTAGTAATGTACATTATTTCTGTAGAGGTAGACGTTTTTTCAGCCGCCATGAATCTATTTTAAGACCTGATCAAAGTGGTTTTGTGTCCACAAATTTGGAACTGCTTATATGGAAAAATTTTAAACTATACAATGAATTTTTATTATCCATATTTTCCACTAGGTCTTGCATAATTTGAAGAAAAAACACCATACACACATTTTGCTTTTTTAATTACAATAAATTCCGTTCCACTCACATTTAACAAAAAATAAGTATACAAATTTAACTGAATCGATTTAATCTAGAATTACATACAGTTTTCCTATTTTACTTTGTCTATGGATGATGTAGTATTATATTATATTCCTTATTGCCTGGATAGACAGCGGAAACGGTTCAGTGCAGCAGTGATGGTGCCACAGGCAATGAGACGTCGGCATCGGCATCGTTGTCGTTGTCATCGTCGGCGTCGGAAACGGCGGCGTCGTCGTCATCGACGGTGGCGGAGGCGGACACCTAGCAGAGCGGCGTGCGTCCGCGCGGTGAAATTTCTGGGAAATTCCTCGAACACTGTGCGCACAGGACACGAGAGTGGAGGGGGAGTGGAGGGGTGGAATAGCGAGGGGAGAAGAATGCGGCAGGCTGCAGCGCTAGCAATTTCGGTAGCTGAGTCCTGCGACGTGTGAAAAAAAGAAAAACTGCAATGACAATAATGACAGCTATGCAAAAGATTGAGTTACCATTGAAGGCACTTACTGCTATTCGTTTGAGGTCAAAGAACAAGATGTATCACATTTTTTCTTCAAAGAAAGTAGTTTCAATACATTTATTAACAAAACGAATAGTGAAATTAACATTAAAACAGATTTCAAATAAAATATCATCCAACTGCGTTGATCATTAGAAAAAAAGGAAAAAGATTGAGATTCCATGACTTCTTCCTTCTTCTTAGTTTTTGTTAACAATTGGTCTGTCAAAAATGTTCTTTTAGAATATAGACGAGTATTTACCAGAAGTTACTCGGAATAAATATGTGTAAGTAATCTATGTTTATGAAATGCCTCTTAATCTCGTGCATTTCTATAATTTAATAATATATCCCTACGTGCATGCAATGCGAATTATGAGAAATGATACGAATTTACGAAGTTTTATAATGCCAATTCTCCGGTCGAAATGCGCTGCTTTCGCATTCGGAAGGCCCGGGTTCAATCACCATGCCGGCCATCCTGACCGGGGATTTCGTGATTTCCCTCGGTCATCCAGGCGAATGCTGCGATGGTTCTACTGAAAGGCCACGACCGCGAAACCGGCGTTCGTAGCCGAATTCGTTAACTACGTGAAGGCACGAAGTTTAAGCGAATTCCAAACATCGCAGGTTCGGTGACCGAATAGAAACCGCGGGATCTAACGGCGTCGATGCATATATAATGGTTAAATGCAAATACAAAATTATAAACAACTTTTACATTTCAAGATATCGTTCATCAAATGACATCTTACGGGACATATAATGACGTTTTTGACGTTTACGGAACAAATAATTACGTCATCAATAGAACCCGGAAGTTTCGCCAAATGCCATTTTATTATTATTGTTGCGAGTTTATGACTTTTATCGATAGTAAACACTTATTTGTATTTCTGGAGT